GCAAAATATTAAGAATAGCGTACTAGTATAGTTGTTATTATCAGTATGTAAATATATAGATCATGCAATATTGGTATGGTAGTTAATCAAATTAAATTCAAATTAACTAAATTCAAATCCTTGCACTGTTCATCGACATTGAGGTGAATGATAGCATATACCATAACAAAACAAAAATGACCAAATATTTTTAAAACAATTTATATTTCAAATTCGCTCCCATAATAGTTGTAATTCAGTTATAATTCAGCTCCTGTAATAGTTGTAAACAAAACAGAATATACAAGCTTCTAGTAATTGTATTCATTAGCTTCAAATAGCTTCAAAGAATACCTCTACACACTGTCAAAAAAACTTTGTGGCTTTCTTCGTGTTTGGCATAGCCACCTCTTCGTTTAGTACAAAACGTTGCTCGTCTGTAACCGAAACGAAACGGGACGCCATTTTGTTTTTGTCCGGAGGAGAATAAAGCGGACTGAAGACATTTTCTACATTTATCCGTTTATTTAGGAAGCAGTGTTGAAAGAACTCGAGAAAAAACAAGAGTGTGAACGAGAAGTCATGGAGAAACTTCTTCAAGAAGAACAAACCAGTGAACGTCGAAAAAAAACACAAAAGAAAAGCAAAGAAAAAAGGACAGAACGTCTAACAGAACTTAAAGTAAGAAGAAATGCGAGTTAAGACCATGTTACCTGAGGCAATTTTTGAATGAAATTTCCGATACAGAGCTATCTTATCTAAATTAATGTCTGCGAAATGTGGGCATGAACCGCATTCTACATGCATAAAAATCTTGCAGCTTTTCAACAAGATGTATTCGCACTGCTTGTTCCCAGTTGTTGACAAGTCTGGAACAAGTTGTTGTCGTCTTGTAACAAGGTTGATGAGGCCAACAGACTCTCAACAAGTTGTTCACAAGTCTGATATCGTCTGCACGTGACAAGTTGATGACAACAAGCTCGTAGCAACTTGTTACGAACAGCCTGTATTAGTCTTGTTGGAACAACTTGTAGCAACTCTGTTACCGTCATCAGCCTTGTAACAAGATGATAGAAACTTGTTCCAGACTTGTCCCAACAACTGGGAACACTTTCTTTACATAACATATTCGTAAGGGATGAAAAATGAAAGAAATGGAACGAAAAATGTCGGCAAAATAAACGGTGGGCCATGCTCATGCACACGGTGTTTGTGTTTATCTTTCCGAGATTCCTGTTAAAGTTTATTTATCTGTTTTTTAGGGTCTTCGTGAACAATGGCGTGATGCAGGCGCCGATGGTACAGCGGACTCTGTAGCAGAGCATGACGTCATCTTGAGAGAGGCAGTGTGTTTGAACATCGTCAAAATTGGCGAAGAAATGAAGGAGGATGGAAGAGAAGTTAAAGCGGAAGAGGTTCATGTCGCCATTTTAGCCAACCTACAGCAAATACAAGATCAGGAAGCAGAGATTTTACTCAGGGATTTATCTGAGAAAGTGAGTGAGCTCCACATATACTGGAGTGAGACAGCTTGTTGACAACTTGCTACAAGGTTGTTGAACTGAACAGACTTATTACAAGTTGTTCCAACAACTTGTTATCGTCCTGCAATTCAACAATTTGTCAACAAGTTGTGAGGGACAACCTTGTATAGTAACTTGATAAAATAACAGTATTGTTACAACTTGTTGACGAGCTTGCTACAAGCCTGTTGCGAACACATCTTGTGAGACTTATTACTTGTGTAGTTCGCTGTCTACCATATTTCATCTATTTACCCCCTGAGCTTTTTCTGGACTGAGGCTAATTAGACGGGGGGGGGGAGGCTAAAAAGAGGCTGAGGCTTTCGACGTTTTTTAACATCTGAATTTCGTATTCTTCGTTCCAGTCCTCCGTGACGTTATCCCAACTCCGCGCGGTGCAACATCAAGCAAGACGTCACCGCTGGTACGATAACATTGCGGTCTCACTACTCGGGCAGAAAAGCCCGGGACATAAACCCGACCGGGATAATATCCCCTCGGAAGAAGAGCTCCTTGGTGCCTTGGAGGAAAAATACGACGCGCTTAAAGATAAATTGATAGCAGAAAGTTTAATGAACGAGCTCGGTGCTGCCATGTGGGAAAAATTATCTGATCGAGAAAGACAAGCGAAGATTTTGAAAATTAGATTACAAGAAAAGAGATTGAGACAAGAAGGAAAGATTGACGAAGCTAACAGGTCAGTAAGTAAGAACACGTTACAGTAATGAACGATTCCAGGTATCGACTAATTTTTTATCTAGACAAGAAAGACGAAATATATCATTATAGCTCAAAAGAGCATCCTAAAAATAGTAATATTGCAAAGTTTGGTTGCGAAATGTTGTAAAATACGAAAAATATAGCCCTGTGAAATTAGCAAATTTTGAGTGTTTTAATATTACGCGGAAAAATGCATCACTTTTGAGCCGAAAGGTCTGCAAACAAGTTGTTACAAATCTGTTCGACAAGTTGTGTTCGCACTGCTTGTTCCCAGTTGTTGTAACAAGTTTGGAACAAGCTGTTAACAACTGGTAACAAACTCGATAGCATTATCAGACTTGTTACAAGGTTGTTCTGACAAGTCTGATACAGTCATGATATAACAAGAATGTTACGGAAGAAGGTTGACAACACAAAGTTGTAACAATATCATGACTGTATCGGACTTGTTGGAACAACCGCGCAACACGTCAGATAATATCAACAAGGTTGTTGCAACTGTTAACAAATTGTTCCATACTTGTTGACAACTTGGGACAAGCAGTGCGAACACAACTTGTTGGCGGACCTGCTACAGGACGTGAGATTTTTGCGCGTATAGTTGATTGTCTAAACAAATAACTGAGGCATAATTTCGTTTCCCAGGTTATTTGGCGAGGGCTTAGAACATGCTGCTAGCCTGTCAAAATTAATGGGTGAAACGAAAGCCCAGCAGAAAGATGTATTAAAACGTCGCTTGCAGAAACTACGTGAACTGAAGGCTGCTGGGATTGAGATTACGACCGAAGAAGCTCAACTCCTGGAGGATGGAATTGAAGCAGAGACGATCGAGGAGGAAGTCACCACAGAGGATGTGATGAGAGATTTACAGGTGATTAGGATTTGGATTCGATTGCTAAGTAGTTGATTCATGCTTTAATTTTAAAGCACAAATTGTCCTAACTTCGAACACAAACAGTTGACATCAAAATACGATCATCAATGCCATCATTAACTACCATCATCACTACCAACATCAGTACCATCATCAACTGCCATCCTCAACTATCATCATCAGCTACCATCATCACTACCATAATGACTATCAATCCCAAATACTATCATCAACTACCATCATCATTTCATCAGCTACCATCATCAATGCCATCATCAACTACCATCATCAACTACCATCATCACTACCATAATGACTATCAATCCCAAATACTATCATCAACTACCATCATCATTTCATCAACTACCATCAT